GGGAAGGCGCCGGTGTCCTCTTATCTCCGACATATAAATCGTCGACAATGAGTTAGCGTATAGAGACGCGATACACTGGCACAATATTCTTTGAGGATAGAGCAAGGCTCTTATAATCGAATTTAGTATGTTAGTAGACGTAGCACTGTAGGATACTTAATAGAGGAGGTGAATGTTCGACAATACCGAGAACCGACTTAGATAGTTGACGTGAATCACGCTCCTCTAGTGTTGTGCCTAGACTTAGACGTTAGGCCTTAGATTTTGTACTGACTTGTTGCTCTTATGCTAATACGGAAGAAATTTCGGTGTGGGTGTGCCCCTTTGTATGAAGAACGCGGATTCGTTGTTTACACTTTTCGTTAGGAAAAGTGAGGGTAACGATCCGCGATGTCGATTGGTCATGACCTACGCTGATGCTTGAAGGGATGAGTAGGAAGCCTCCTACCAACCTGGCTCGTGGGTGACCTTGTTCATGGGAAAAACCAGCCTTTTTGTTAGACAAATATTCGGTTTTTCCCAGTAGGTGACTACCCACTTTCTCCGTGTTTCTAAGTGCGCCTAATAAACCCAAGGACCTCTCTAAAAAAACAGATGTGCTTCGAAAATATTTTTTGGCTTAAGAAATTCTTCAGAACAAACGGATTGGCTGAAGATACATGTTGATACAATACAGTGAAAGTAAAAGGCTATGGTGGGACTTTAGGTTTATTGAGGGTCGGAGTGACGTTACGCAGGCCGTCGGCTGTCCGGTCGCGAGGACTGGAATGCAGATGTTTTAGGCGACGTAACACTAAACTCACCCGAACTAACTCGCAAGACCAAAACTCACACTCTAAAAAAAAGCTTGCAAAATTAGCAACCACGCTCTGCTACCATGTTAAGGTATAATAAATTAATTGCTTTATTTGCACACAACATCGATACATCTGAATATCTCGATATCCTTCTTACACGCACGCTTGTTGTCAAACTATTACTACGACTACTACTACTACTACGACTATTCTAGATGCTTCTAACATTTACCAACAGTCTTTTGTCTCAACTAAGACTTGAACGTCCTCTGACGCTTACACACACATTCACATGTACATTGTAAATGTATCACCTACCTAACAAAAGTAAAACATTTGAAAATAATTTCAATAAATGCTAACTCAATAATTTCAAACCAAAACAAGATACAGTATGCTAACCCTAATAAATAAAGAAACCCCCGACATCGCACTTATCTCAGATACAAAATTAAACAAAAGACATAAAGTACACTTCAAAAACTACTCTATGATAAGACACGACAGACCGAACGCTAGCCAAGGAGGAGGAATGGCAATCCTCATAAAAAACCCTCTGAAGTTCAAAACAATACGAAACGACAAAGCAACAAGTTTCAAAATCCTAGAAACAACGATCATAAAAATAAAAATAAGCAATAAGGAAAATTTATTTATCACTGCAGCCTACGTAACCTACGGAAACCAGAAAGAATTTAACGACGAATTCAACAATCTCTTTAAATTTTTACAACTCGACGAACAGGAAAACTACTACAACAGCTGGCGACCTTAATACAAAACATACAAGCTGGAAAAACGAACTAAAGAACACGAGAGGAAACTTCCTTAGAAACTGGCTAGACAATAAAAGCATACACTACAAAACAAACCTTTACAGCTCCGAGCTACCCTCTTATCCAAAAGGAGGCTCATACCTGGACATATGCCTGGCAGATGCACGACTAAAATTCCAAAACCTACGTCCAAATAACACCCTCAAAACCTTAGCCTATGACAGTGACCATAACGCCCTAGTATTTCACGTAAACAAAAACACATCTGATCTCCTAACACTCGAAACTCAGCCCGAGACACCCAGGTACAATTACAAAAAGACAGACTGGAAAAAGTTCCAAAACACACTCGAACACAACTGCGACCTAAAAATTTACAATAACGTCAACCTAACAAACAGACAAATCGACTCATTCATAGACGAAATAGAAAAACACATACAAATCGCTCTTCAAGAATCCATACCAAACTTAAAAGAAAAAAATTCTTGCGAGCCCTATATCAACAATAAAATAAAAAAATTACAACGAGACAAAAGCTACATACCATCCGAATTAAACAATATAATATACAACTATTCTTGCGATAAAAGGGAATACTTAGAATTCCTAAAGTACCTGCTATACAAAATAAAATCGCAACTGAAACAAGAATTCGCAAACTCTATAAATCAATATTGGACAAACAAAATAAAAAATATCTCCAAAAAAGACTCTGCTAGCATGTTCCCGCATATAAATCAAATTTTCAGACCAAAAGAACAAAACTCCATCCCGCCTCTGAAACTGCCCCCAGAAGAAGCCTCCCTCATCCAAGAAGCAGATATAGCGATACACAACACCAACAAAGACACCGAGGATAACTTCGTAATATCTAAATATCTAAAACAACGGAAAAACTAGTATCTAAAACAACGGAAAAACTAGACATTATCGGCACCCACTTTTCCAAAACACACACACAAAACGACCACATGGGTCGAGAACAACTGAACAGATTTATCATCGCCGAAACAAACAAACTCAAAAATAAAATAGAAGACATAGCGCTAAACAAAACAGTCTGCACATTCTCAAACGAAAACACCTCGAACACCCCCAAATAACCAGAACCAGAAACAAACTACTTTACAAATTCCACCAACTAAGTATAATCTTCTCCAAAATAAACAACTAAGAATATTCCGGCTTCAATGGCATACCAAACATTTGCTGAAACGCTTATCTGACAAACTAAAATGGTACTACACAGTACTATTCAACAATGCGCTAAATAACACGTATTTCCCCAGAAAATGCAAAAAAGCCAAATTAATAGCCATTACAAAAAAAAAAAAAAAAATAAAGGCGGTTCATCACCTGCAAACCTACGATTTATAAGTCTTCTTCCCAACATAAGCAAAATATTCGAAATAGTCATAAGCAACCCCCTAGCCTCCTTCTGCGCAAAAAATAATGTAATCCCAGGATATCAATTCGGCTTCCGGCACAAACAATCCACAATCCACGCAATAAATAAACTAACGTCGGACATCTGCTGGGCGTTAAACGCAAAGCAACGAGTAGCCGCCTGCTTAATAGACCTCGAAAAAGCTTTCGACACAGTCTGGATCCCAGGTCTTATATACAAAATGATTAAAAAAAACTTTCCATAATATTTAATTAAAATAGTCTGGGACATGATCACAAGCAGAACATTCGTAATGACCGAAGGTTCACACACATCAAGCAAAGAATTCTCCATAGAAAACGGTCTACAACAAGGAACAGTAAATTCTCGGCTACTTTTCAGTATTTACAACAGCGACATACTGAATCCCTTTAATCTCAATACATCCACCCATAAACGCTCCACAGCCTTCGTAGATGACCTAATCATCTACGTAACAGGCCGCAAAACCAAAACAATAAGAACAGAACTCCAAGAACTTTTTGACAAAATTAACGATTACTATTATACATGGAAACTAAAAATTAATGCAAGCAAATACGAAACCATACTGTTTAGACCCAAGTCAAGTGAAATCGGTCCAATAGAAAGAGAACACTGTAAAAAATTTCAACTAAGAGAAAAAGCAAACGAAGGGGAGCTCATACCACACAAAAACTGCGTAAAATATCAAGGTATAAATATAGACGAAAAATTAAACTACAAACAGCACATCGAAATTCAACTCTCCAAAGCCAGCAAAATATTCTGGAAAACAAAAAGATTATTCTACTCCAAACATCTCAACGGCAAAGTAAAAATCCTGTGCTACCAAGCACTAATTAGACCGATCATAATCTACGGCTGCCCAATGTGGTACAACATATCAGCTTCCCTAATGGAAAAAATTTGCATACTGGAAAGAAAATGCATCAGGGCTTGCCTGAGCACATACAGATCCGAACACAGCGGATTCAAAAAATATGTAAAAAACGAAACAATATACGACCTAGCCAACATTCACCGCATCGACTGTCACATCTTAAAACTAACAAGAAACCAGTACGCGTAAGCTGCAAAGATAAAAGAAAATAGTTTAATCTTCGGTTTCTTATTTCCAAACGATTCATATTACAAAAATATACTAACAGGTTACATCCCCCCGAAACATTTTTATTCCTAGACGAAAGAAACTATCTCTAAGACCAAAATAATATCCCAATAATCTACTATATAAAAAGAAAAATAGGAATTAGAACAATACTCTGCGAGAAAAACTTAAATGAACAGACCGTAGACACAAGGTGGAGATACAACATGGCCCTTCCCCAAAAAGACACAGAAGACAATCACAGATAAAACATAAAAAAATATTGGTGAATACCGAAACCATAATAAAAAAAAAAATAACAAGAGAAAGAGCCTCAAAACGACAACGCTCAAATCTCCTACCATGCAAAATAGTGTAAATATTGTAAACATTGTATATATTGTAAATAATTCTACAGGACACCCCTCTCTTTCCCTCCCCGTCCACCCTCTCCGACCCCTTCCCAAAATCCCACAGCCCCTCCAAAACCAAATAGACTGTCCTGTTTTTGCGACCAGGTTTTCAGGACAGAGATAGAAAGAAGAAAACAATATCGTATATAAACACCGCTCTACAGTGACTTAAATATAATTTATATATTGCAAAGCTAAAAAAATGTAATTCCGACACACAAAATATTGTATGGCTATATCGTACTGTCATGTATCGGTACTTTTACCTAAACCATCCCACAATCGAAGTTCATTGTTTATTGTGAACAACATACCAATGTAACACTAATCTACTGGTCAATAAACATTGTAAAAAAAAAGCGTCTTAGGTTACAAACGTTCGGGACCCGGGTTCGAATCCCGGCGACCGGAATCCGATTTTTCTTTTACGCATCAAAAACGGAAGAAAATCAGCAGTACCCCATCAGCGACATCTACAGCCAGCATCTACAATTATCACGGACAACACCTTACTTTAGAGATTAGAATCCTCATATCGTGCTTACCTACGCATAATCGACCAATTATACGACATCTTGCAACTGATGCGTGAATTACAGGTATGGTTTCAGCTAATTCTGCCTCAAATTCACTGTAATTAACAATAATATTTGTTTTATGAATTATAGAAACATAATACGTGTTATGTCAACGCATGTTGACAATGCAAGGTTATGAAATTGTCAAATTGCTGGTAAAAATTATTGTATTGCACAACATAAGTTTAAGTATGGTTGAAGATAAAGTGATAATGACTCATTCTTATTGATACCTATAAAAATTCTCGGAACTACCGATTGCTACCAGACAAGAAGAATTTGTTAACCTGGAAAACACTCCAACTTCGTTGTTATTTTCAAACTGTACACGTACCGCCATGATTATAAATTTACTATTAACGTATTGTGATTTCAACGAAAATTTTGAAACTGTTATGTTAGATTTTAATCAGTGTTTAAAGTATACGCCGCGGTATACACGCTAACCTGTATTTCACACTTCACTTAGCACGAGGTTTATCGCACGACTGGATAAACATGTGAAAAAAAGTTGCCCGTTCACATGGGTCGAGCCATTGCCTGCCTTCTTGCGATAGAACATTGTAACTAGCTACTTTCGAAATTTATCATGAGCTTCCTGTTCTATGTAGCAACTTGTATACGTAATTGCATGTAATCGTTTGAAATCGTCCACGTCTCTTAAAATAGAGATTGTGTTATTTTCGTATATGAAATTGAGGTGAAACTAAACACGAATTGCTTCGCCAAAAACATTACCAAGTTACTAAACAAAGCATATTTTTTCTAGGACAACTTAATCATCATTATACCAGATAAATGTTACTTATATTTGCTTAATAACAATGATACATTTAACACTTCCTTTTTTACTTATATTATACAGTCTCCATAGAAGTAACATCGCTAATCCAGTACGTCAAGATAATTTAAATAAAATGAAAAATTTCAAATAACTGACGCCTTAAAATCGTACAATCAGGTATCATTAGTCAGTGCTTACAACTAACGAAGACAAATGATGTTTGCACAATTCCTTTATTGAAAGTCGTTTGATAATGCTGGCAGCAGTCATGCGAAGGAAAGAGAAACATTTTCAAACGAATCGTTACGTTGCGTGATTTTTCGAACGTTCGATAACTCGCAAACATGAGCATAAGTTAGACTCAATGTTCGTATAATATTAATAAAACCAGCAATTGTTAAAAATCACCGCTTTGAATGTAGCATGCCTTACTACTGCCGCAAACACTTCGTCGTAATCCTTTCCAAATTTTTGTGAAAAACCTTTTGTGATGAGTCTTGCCTTATATTTTACAATTTTGCCTTCGGTGTTTCTTTTTATCTTGTATACGCATTTACATTCAATAACCTTTCGCTCTTTAGGTGGAATCACAAGGCTTCAAGTCTTGTTATTTTTTAGTGAATCCATTTCCTCGTCCATCGCCTTTATCCACAGTTCTGCATCTGGCCTTGATAATGCATCCTTTTCATTCTTTGGCTCTCCTAGGCTAACTGTCATGTTTAGTACTCCCATGTACCTATCGGGAGGAACTCCTTTATTTGATCTTTTTGATCGCCTTGGCAGTAAATCTTGAATATCTTCACTTGTTACTTTATTTTCCTTGCTTGAAGTGTTAATGCAAGATACATTTATATATAAATATGCAATCTAAAGTATACCTTACTGAGGCTGTGTGTTTAAACCAAAGTAACCTATACATGTAGATAATTTGTAGCTTAAATGTAATTGCAATTATGCGCCTGCAAAGTCTATTTATCTATTATGAGGTTCAGAATCTATTATTTAAAAAAAAAGCTAGGATTACATTCCTTTCAGAAATGTCCACGTAATCATAAACCACAAGCGCTTATATATGTCGAAGATGAAAAGACACCGGGGCCTTCATTTTGGAAATTTTGGGAAAATCCCCAATACTATAGTCTAGAGTTTATCACAGTTGTAATGAAACCCCTGTATGCACTTACTTCCGGCAATAAAAACATAACTCGGACAGATTTTTTTTTATTTATTTATTTAAATTTTACAATTTGTCCAGTAGGACATTTGGTAAAGTATCATAGCGGCATGCTAATATATCATGTGGGTGGATACCCCCAGCGGGGTACCATCATCGTGTTTGTTAGGTTATGTCCTTTGTGTGAGATCTCTTGGGTGTTCCCTTCTTAATCTTCTTTTTATGCTTGATGTGTCGACCGTTTTCGCTGCCAGTCGGTTTGGGTGCATTGCTATTCTTTCTCTGTACCTTC